AAACGGGGCGGAGTGAATGAAAAAGCCAGCGGCGAAACTGAAAAAAGAGTGGAAACGAAAAACGGGGCGGAGTGAATGAAAAAGCCAGCGGCGAAACTGAAAAACTCACAGGCGAGAATGAATATTGAATGAATTTTGTTTGATATTAGGAAAGTTTTGTTTGAAAATTTTGGCACAAATCTGATTCCATACCTGAGGACTCTAAGATAACGGCTATCCAATATTGGTTTTCAGCCTTGTCCCTTGTGTACAGGGATTTCCCCGGATTCTCTGAATCTTCTAATGATTTTATGTACCATAGATGCTTAAATTCCTAAATTGTAATATTTCAGTGAGGAAACATGTTACTGGCATCAAATTCAGCATATATTTGTAATAAAACAATATAATTTCTCCATTTCAGCATTTGGTATGTTGTCTTTGTTCTATTTTCAATTAAATATGGGTTTATATAATTTGTGAATCATTGCATTCTGTTTTTATTATTCACATCTTACACGGCATCCCAACTTTTTTGGAAACAGGCTTGTAGTTGCCACAGTCAATTTCCTGTCAGGTGACAGGAAGCTACCTCAGCTGGCTAGCTGTAGCATCTCTTAGCATCACTGGTATTGTCTCTGTTAGGATCTCTATTATAACTTCTCTTAGCGCCGCTACCAGCACCTAACAGTGTCGATATCACAGTTAACAGCTCTTAGAGGTTTATGCACTCTTTATTCTGTAACTGTGGATAAGGTTTTCCTACTGAGAGGCATAAACTTCCTCTTAGCACTAAGAAGAGATTAACAAACAAGCAGCAAAACTGTGACATATTACACATTCTAAGAATCACACATTCTTAAAGAGTTTATTGTGATGAATTCATTGTTGTATGACACTGGCTCTCATAAGAACTGTATGCTGTCATGTTTGAAGCAACTTTTAGTTTTCTTGATGTTCTTGGTGTTACCTGCAGGGTAAGAGGGCGTGACCTGGTGTCTGGGGGTCGTGTATCTCGGCTTTTGCTGCTCCAGGATGTTATTCTTCAGAGGGAAACTGGGAAGGAAATACAAACCAAATGTTAGAATCCTGATGATGGGACAGGAAGTGACACGTTAGCATTAATCACGTGGCCTGTGACACGTCCATTATCTACCGATCAAGCCTTACAGTACAAGTCTCACCTTTTCCTTACAGACACTGAGTATTTATTCCAGGGAGCCACAATCGAGAGTGTGCTGGCACATGCCATCTCCGTGTGGTACGCTGGCTGTACAGCTGCCGATAAGAAGAGACTCCAGGGGGTCACTAGAACAGCAGAGAAGGTGATTGGCTGTCCACTCCCCTCCCTGGACTCCATTGCTAGCTCTAGGTGTCTCTCCAGAGCAAGGGCGATCATAAAAGACCACCTCCATCCTAACCACCACCTATTCAACATACTGCCCTCTGGAAAAAGGTTCAGATCCATCAGGTGCAAAACCAACAGAGTAAAAAATAGCTTCTACCCGTGGGCAGTCAGAACTCTTAATGCATCAGATCACTAACATTACTCCTTCAATCCTCCCCTCACTCCTATCTTTTTAAGCTTATGGTGTCCATAAGTATGTATGTGTGTATGGGTGTGGGTGTGTGCGTGTGCACGTGTTTGTGCAGTTTTCGTCCATACTCCATACTCACTGCTGCTACTGACTATGGCTCTGTGCAATATCTTGGAAAATGTGCAATTGCCAACCTACCCAATAGTGTCACTTATCTATGACAAAAGCCCTCCCCCCTTATTTATTATATTTATGACACCCTTGCATATACCCCCAATGTCTCTTGTACCTATACATTGTATATACTGTGTTTCTTATTCTTATATCTTGTACTGACACTTTCTTGCATCTTTGTGGTCTTGCTAGCTAATTTCGTTGTCCAGGCAACTGTACAATGACAATAAAAAGTCTTGAGTCTTGAGTCTTGAGGAGGTAACCTTATGTTCACTGTATGCACTCAAACTTTGCCACAGACACTGAGCTTTGTACGTGACATACGTCTTATCTTTGGTTCCTTCAGGTTTTTCCAAAGACACTTCACCTTATTTTTGGAGTTTTAGATCGAACATCTTGGTTTTGTATCAGAATAAATACCTCTGTTGTATTCTGTGACATTACAGTTCATTACACTAGTTTTAATATGTCACTACTTTTCTTGTAAAACAGATGTAAGCTAGCTAACAGCCAGACCCCCTGTGCTACTGAAATGTTTTTAATATAAATGAATTAACGAAATCATACACTGCCTGCTTACCGATACCTGGACGCATATAATCATTTACCCGTTCAGCAGATGCCGTTCCGTGCAACTAAAATTGGGTTTAATTCCTCTCCCCGCCACCAGAGGTCCTTATAGAACCTTTCTGTCACTTTTCTGATATTCCGGTCGGTAGGTTAATGGCTCGAGTAAGGAAATATTTGAAATGTGTACCTCACATTTCTAGATTTGTGTGCAATTCAGCAAATTGGTGTCTCCAAATGACTCAGTGAAGAGTGATAGATGGAGGGTCTTTACATTGTCCAATGTGCGGAGCCTGTATTGAAATCAAGTCCCTTCCTCGGTGATCCCTCACCTTGTACTAAACTTATTTCAGTTCGTTGATAATCACGTTTAGTTTGCATTGTTTTTTCCAGCGTTACTGCTGTCGTTGAACGATGCTATTATAGCAGAGGTGGTAGTTTCAGGACCAGAAAGTAAAAATCCAGACCAAGATTTTGTTTCAACCAACCAGCTGAGTACTCTGTGACTGTGACTCTTTATGCTCAACTGGTTGGTTAAAAGTAAATCATGGTCTGGATTTTTACTTTCTGGACCTGAAATTGCCACCTCTGTGTTATAGTAGACGCGAAGTTAAAGGGACTGAAGGGACCTTTACGGATCCATGAGTACAAGATAATTCAGAGTGGTGCAAAGGGGAAAAACGTATTACATAATATAGGGAGGCTCACGAATTCAGTGTATTGGAGTAGTTTTTTATATTTCAGGACCCGAGGGCCATTTAATGGCATTCCTAGCGCCTCCTAGCGGTCCGGTGTTATTTTGAGTTTACGCGAGCTGCGGTTCGTCTGTGGATTACGGTTACGGGCGTTTTACTGCTGAACTTACGGTAGTTAAGAAATGCGTTTCGTGTTGTCGGGGGCTGACTGCTCTTACCCAGGTGTGATCTGTCAGTGTTTATTGGGAGCCATCTTCCGTGGTTTGATCCCTTGGAATGCGGTCATGGAGAAAACTATTTATAGCATGTGGATCTCAGATATGTGCGATTTATTCTGTGCGGCAGGTAGATGTTATCATCAGCACCGAGAAAGCTGTTCTTTTAAATGTATTTAGATAACGGGGAATTTCCTATTTTTGCGCATTCTTCTGTTTGTTTTGAGGAACTGAGCAACGCTGGTAGAGAGATTAAGTTGTCAGGATTTCTTACAATAAATGTGCACTTTACAGTCTGCTTAGGCTGATCATCAGGATATATATACCAGGACGGGGGGTATAATGGAGGAGGTTAATGCCGGTGAGCCCCTGTTAGATCTAAAAGATCTCGAAATTAAAGTCGGAAGAAAGGCGCCCGAAGCGCTGATTAAATGGATGCGGGAAGACGCTCTACACCTCGGGGAGCGCAAGTTAAGTACCGCGGAAAGAAACGACCGAGACCCCAAGACCGATGCACTCGCTGACAAAATAAAGAATTTAAAGCAAGACATGGTAAAAATGTTTATTTTTTCTTCCCTTTATATGTGAGAGGTCCCTTTAGTAACGATGTTTCGACCTCTTGCTTTCTTAAATTACTAGTCTGGATCCACATCTCTGCTCGCCTGCTTCATGCTTCTGGTGTCTCGTAGCCTATGTGTTTGCGGTTAAAACGTTGCTGTAACTCCATCAGCTAACCTAATTGTATAATTCATATACAGTGCAACAAAACTGGAAACTCGTGTGGCTAATTGTGCAAGCAGTAGGAGTTATTATGTAATGGTGGAGAATTTGACTTCTATGAAGATCCGCGAGATATTTAGGCTATTGAAAGTGGCTGCTATCGAGCGCTCTTGCACTCAGGTGTACGTACTCTGTTCCTGTTACGGTACGATGTCGCTTATTTAAGTTTCAAACCTGCATGTTTCCATCCATGAGTAGTATAGTTGGTGTTTTTAGTGGAAACGTATACATGTATGGGGTGTTTTACTTCGGGTGAAAGCCGGTGTTTGAACTTCTAGCTGTGTCTGCTTGGAGTCTTTACTCACGCACTTATAACTTAGATAAGGGCTACATATATTTTTATGCCCATCTGCTACCTTTTTTTAAAAATAAAATGATAAATAAATAAAACCTGCTAATTGCCTGTCCGGACGTGATTTCCCCCCCGTTACGTATAATATTATACCAGTCCAAACCAATCCAGTTATTTTCCTAATTTTTTAGGGCCCCTGTCACTCAGGGGCCCTTGGAATCGTCCTAGCTTTCCTCCCCCTTATGGCGCCCCTGCTATATACAGTATAATGTGCTCAACAAAATGTATTTATAACCGAATTGTTTGACATTCTGTGACTATATGTTCTTAGGTTCAGCTTCCAAATCTTCCTGCATGCATTCCTGGTCAGATGTTGTGAGTTAAGGTATAGGCTACATATTTTCTGTGCATTTAACCTTGTATGTAAGGTGGGTTACCGAACCTCTCCTGTCACTTAAAAAGTCCCTGAAATCGCCATCTGTTATTCTCGTGCCACGGTGCAAGCGGTCGATCCAAGGTCAATAATTTACAATGGCTGTACGATGTGACGTTCACCGTCTTTGCGCAGCAAAAACAAGCAGTTAAAAGGTTAAAATGCGTGGGGGGGGGAAATCACGAGAATCAGGATAAGACGTTATTCGTCACAGGGGTTTTTCCATTATAAACCTCATAAGGAAGGATAATCTTTGGAAATTAAACAGGCTACTAGGCTTAAATATCAGAATACTTTCCAAGGCAGGAAATTCAGTCTCACTGCATTTATCCATTACATTAGATTTACAGTTACGCAAAAGCCAAATATATTGCACATTCAGCGTGAGTTTTGCATGCGACTGAACTCGACATGCACGTTTTCCCCCGGATTTTGCTGGTGTAAGGTAACGGCAGGCGGCTAAAAGGCCTAATTAAAGGATGAAAACTGCTAATTGTCTTCCCTCACGCAATAATTCCTTCACTAAGAACATTTTAGCTCTAATTACACATCATCGCATTAGAGGGATATCAGCGTTAGCCCCACACTAGCTGTAGTCTATCTGAAGACAAATAAAACGTGTGCATGGATAGAGAGTTGAAAATAATGTAATCATATCAAGCAAATATGCCTTTTTTTTATTATCAAAAGCTACTTTATACAGATTAGTGTGAAATGGCTCGCGGCTGTTTACCGGTCGCTTTCATGTAGGCTGCCCACAATCTGCTGAGATTGCCGCTTCTGGCACTTTGCGGACCCGAATGTGCCATGCAGGCACAAAATCACGAGGAACGCCCTTCAATACTTTCCATATCATACAAAATAGATAGATTCAACTGATCAAAAGTAGGTTACGACCGGCCAGAGAAGGTCACACTATGTAAGGGTCTTTCTGAGATGCTGATTGTAAAGTCGTTCGGTGTATAGGCCGATGTACAGAAGTTTAACGTGTCAATGAGTAAATTTACAAAACGATTGATTAGCAGTTACATACGCCCATCTCAATATAGATTAGATAGATCAGATAGATACTTTATTGATCCCGAAGCTTACATATAACCAGGGGCGCCGTAAGGGGGAGGAAAGCTAGGACGATTCCAAGGGCCCCTGAGTGACAGGGGCCCTAAAAAATTAGGAAAATAACTGGATTGGTTTGGACTGGGGGGCCTAATATGATATGCTTTCATGGGGCCCAAAATCTCTAGCAGCGCCCCTGGTATATAGTGTCAACTATATTTACATTTTCCTATAGGCCTATTTTAGGTCACTGGAAGGGCAGGCTGTGTCAGATTATCCAGAGCAATTGTGCTTCCTTCCTGGTTTGTGTTTTCAGTGTGTTTCCCTTTGCCTTCTTGACTTTTATGCTTTTAAATACAGATGTAAGTGAGTGGCCAATCGTTAATCGTTTCTCCAATTTGTTTAACCTTGTGTGATGATTATGTATGACTGAGTCTCTATCTCCCCTCCTCTCTTCATACGGGTACACTGTTATGACCTGTGCCTGGCTCTCGTGTGTTTATGGGATGTCAGTGGACAATGTCCGCTACTCCTCTTTGCAGCTGCATGCTGGTGGCTGCGACTAGGCCTAACGTGTGTAATCGGAAGAGCATGTCAGTGTCTATGCAGTGCCGGTTTGCATGTACAGCCACGCAGGGTTGCGCTGCTAGAGATTTTTGGGGCCCCCAGTCTAGACCAATCTTTTAGGGCCCCTGACTGACAGGGGCTGTTGGAATCGTCCTAACCACCACCCCACCCATGACGGCACCCCTGCAACCACGCCACTTGCACTGCCTGATTTGCAGCTCAGGGTTACCCTGCGTTCTGAGTGTGAAATCGCGCTTCGGATTGCTGCGTCTCCCGGCACCCAGACGCCTGTGGTCAGAAAAGGAGTTCCAGGTTCAGTGAAGGGGGAGCCGGCCGCCAATGCCGCAGCCTGCTGACTCTGCGATTCCTGCCCCCCCGCCCGGTCCCCGCCGTCAGCAGCCAGCGGCGCCGATCCCGTGGCGAATTTACAGCTTCCCTCATTAGCGGCTGCTTAACCCGGCAGAGGCGCTGCCTCCGCGGCTTTCGCAGCGCTCCGCAAAGACCCGGCCTGCCGGTCCTTTCGCGGTCAGGCAGTTGGGAAAACGCCCCCGGCAGCCATTCTCTCTAGTTCGTCTGGTGTTTTAGTGGAGATCAGCAGGTTTCCAGCTAATTCCACACCGTCCAGCACCATCTAACGCAGCTTTAGTCTGAATATAACTGCTTACAGCTGTGAAAGCGGCTATAGCACTTTAAAGGTGTCCGTCTCCCTCTGCGGCGTCGTGAATTACTGATCGTGTAGATCATCTAACCGCCGAAAATTTGTACGTTGGCTTCAGTATTCTGTTCCATTTTCAGCCTTATAAGGAAGATATAGCGTATGTTTCTGAACATGAGGTTGCAGGTCCCACGAGAGCCATCTGCGCTGCTTAAAGCTGGATTCGGCACTGGAGGTTTATATTTACCCAGGGCTGTCAGCGGCCGGGTCACTACAAAGCTGGTCAGAGGGGGGGCTGTATTTGGAAGCTGGGGGGGGGGGATGGTGCTGTGGTAGCTGTTACTGTACTGGAAGCTGCAGGCAGGATCAGGTCTTATGGGTGGTAGTGGGGGCGAGCTGCAGCGGGGGGGGGGAGGGCAGATCCCCAGAGATGACAGAGCGGCGGAAGGTTCTCTGAAACGCCCCCCCATGGGAGGTGCCTTGTTTTATTTATGACACTGACAGATATAGTGGTTACAGTGTTTTGTGAAATGCTTGTTTGCCTCACTGCAGACCTAATCCAAAGAGACCAAACAAACATTAAACAATCATTAATAACTATAAGTTGTATGCAGTTAGCAGTGAGGTGTCAGGTGGTATTGCTTGTGTCAAATGAATGTACAGTGGTGTCCTCCGTGCGGTTCTGTACCTTGCGGGGACGGCAGGTTCTGTTACAGCTTAGTCTTGCTGGTTGCTTGTGGAAATTCTGTTTGGCGTGGAATTAAGATTTTACAGAAAAGCAGCGACAAATTCAAACAGCTCCCTCTCTTCACTCTTTTGTTTCTCTAAACTCCTGCACCCCCCCCCCCCCCCACCATCTCTTCTCCTGCCCTGCATATCCATGCCCCCCAACCCACCCGCTCCCAGCTGTCCCTGCGTTCCCTGGACGTCCGCATCCTCCGCCAGCTGGTGGCGCTGCACGAGGGCATGGAGTCGCTGCGGTGGCTGTTGGAGGAGCGTGGCCCCCTGCCCAGCCGCTGCAGCAGCCTGACAAGCAGCCAGTACAGTCTGGCCGAGGGGCCCGACACCTCACTGCGGGGCAGCTGGAGCAGCCTGCAGGACCCCAGCGACCGGCTCGACAACATCTCCGTCGGCAGCTACCTGGACACGCTGGCCGACGACACCGACGAGTATTGTTCCGCCGAGACGGGCCTATCCTCCACCCCTCTGGTATCGGAGGCAGGCGGGCGAGCAGGGGCTGGCCCGGGCTCCCCCCTCGTCAAACCCGAGGTTCCCAGAGAAGAGGCACGGACAGTGGCTAAGCTAGCCCACGATGGCGTGGATCCCCGGAGAATGGCCTCCACCCTGAATGATGGTTGCCAGACGCGTGCGGGGGAGGCAAACTGTGTCCCGGATAAGGCAGGCTGGCGTGGGGGTGGCCAGGGCCCTGCTCGGCCGTGCCCCGGCGAAAAACTCGCCAAAAATCCCGATGCCAAGGTGAAGGCCTACCAGAACGGTAAGGTGGATCCGGAGGGCTGCAGACTCAACGGAAGAGTGAACCTGGAACACGAGGCTCACTGGAAGTGGGTGCAGTCGCAGGATGATGTGACGTTCCTCTGAAGGGTCGCCCTACATGCTCCGCAGGAGCCCCGCGCCTCACCCCTGAGCCTCACCCCTCCACCCCCCTGACACCCTGATCAAATTCAGTGTCGTACACGAGGTCCGGACAGAAATCTGGTTCTGACGACATAGCACTTCCACCAAGTCCACGTGCAAGTGCATCAGGAGGTAATGTACTGCCCTTTAGGACTCGGTACCAGAAAGCCTGTCATTTTGACTGAGGGAGGGGGGGCACTGGCAGCAAGTGTTCCCGCCGGATGGCAGAAGTGGAGAAATGAGAAAGTTTTGGATTTTGGATTTAACACAAATGTATCTGACTGAAATGTTTGGTCTGAACAACCATGAGACTCAACCTCACTAACAAAGTACCTTAATATTCAAAAATCTAGCTGTTTACATTAAAATATAGTAACAAGAGGATCGATTCGGATATCGATTAGTTTGGACTGGCCTGGGTTAGACACATTGACCAAACGTTGTGAGGATCAGGGTGAACAAATAAACTGATCGATTCACATTTGGTTGGAGCCTCCTCATGAAAATGACCTTTAAGTGTCATTGCTGGAGACACTATTCAGCTGACTCATGGACTTTGTATGGAACAGATGTTTTAAACCGTCTCCATCTATTCTAGGACAATATGATGTCGGCAAGATCTGTCAACTGTGTAGGGTTAAGCGTACAGATTCCATTACACCCAGAGATGCATCTTGATTTGCTGTACAGAAATTGTTCATAATGAGAAATATGAACCCGATGATGTTTTTAACATAACTGCATGCAATTCAACACTGCTGTACATTATAAGGAATGGTAAATATTCTTGTATGTAGACTAAATCCTTAACTGTAATAGGTCTGACACCCCATTCACATCTAATCAAAACCTTCCATGTGACTGCAGGTTAATGCCAGGGTGTAAAAGGGAAGGACAACAGCCCCCTTTGACTGACCAATCAGAACTTTATAAAGGTACATTAGTAAACCCCCCCCAAATCAACCCTGCGGCTCATCAGAAGCTGTTTCCGGTATCCCAATTAGAATTAGGTGATCAGTGGTCATTGTTAACACAGCACAGCACACAGTGCGCAACAACAAAATGTGTCCTCTGTATTTAACCCATATGTGACTTTCGTGATATAGCAGGGGGCAGCTAATTCAGCGCCCGGGGGGCAGTGCTTGGGGGCGGTACCTTGCTCAGGGTACCTCAGTGGTGCCTTGCTGGTCGGGGATTCGAACCAGCAATCATTTAATTACAATTGCGCTTCCCTAACCATCAAGCCACCACTCTCATCACTCACAGTTCTCTCAGACGTTATTGTCACCCATGGTCACCCATGGTCATCATTAAACTAAATATTGTTTTAGACCCATAGGTGGCATAGTTCTTAAGCATGTGGACCTGCATCTTAAAGGGGCCTGCACTCTCGGGTCTTTCAAGATTCTTAACAAATGACTCCTGCTTTGGATAAAAGCATCAACTAATGTGAAAGGAATCAAATTAGGCATTCAGTGTTTCAGACCTTGATATATAGTACTGCCCCCCGTTAGAAAATTCATGGGAGGGTGTGCATGTTTTTTTCTCTCTCCTTTCAAAAGCATGGCTGAGATCAGCAGCCCACCCAAGTTAAACTGTAAGCTCTGGAGTGCCATGTGTAAGTGTAACTTTGGGCCAGGTCCGAGGGTGGCCGGGCTTCTGTGTCACATTCCGGAACATTCTGACAAATGGGCCTGTCACTAATTAACCCATTTATTGCCTGTATTTTGTATTCCCAGTGTTTCTTTCATGTACTGTCAATGTTTAATATTTTACAAGTTTGATTAAAATTTCGATGGAATTGTTCATGGCTGCTTGTTGTACAAATGAGAGACTTTTATAACTGATAAAGACCAGCTGTATTATAACATTCATGTTCTGTTTCTATAGATGCATAAATATTGCTGAATGTTAATGGAGAACACGATCCAGAACCGTCACAGCAGCAGAAATATATTATGACTGGGTTGCTGTTTGTGAAGTTTACTGTTAGTGTTACTGCCACAATGATGATTAGGGATGACAGGGTTACAATGTCCTTTTGCAGTTGGTTTATTTTAGTACTTGTCAGCTTGAAGCAGGGACACTCTGACTGTCTCTCTACCATCTGCTAGTGGAGGTCGGCACCATGGGCCTTGTTAGGTCGGACAGTATAGCCCGAGTATTTTACCCGCGATACCAGACTTCCTTTAAAAACAAGTCAAGCACCAGGTAAACCCCGATCGTTTCAATAGCTAGAAACTCCCCAGGTCAGCACTATAAGGTATGTAGGTAATTAATGATAATTACGCTAAATTACCAGTAAGGAAAGCTGGACAAAGTCTCTCCTTCCTTTGGCAGTGAAACAAGGAAAAACTGTTAAGATGATTACAGGAATGGATCCCTGAATGTCGTCATTTAAGGACATGGATGTGGGCGGAGTCTCAGCCTGGTAATAAACGCCCCCCCGCAGCTGACCCTGTTCTAATGTCGACTCGTGGGGTCTCTCCGGTTCCCAGGAGCCCCATCTGTGCTGCGGGGGCTCTTCAGCTCGGCGGGGGGGGGTGCCTGGCCTCCTGTCAAACGTTGGAACGGATGGGATGGGGGGGGGGTGAAGCGGAAATTACGGCGTTTTAGCTCCCACTTTTGTCACCAGCTTGGGAGAAAGTTGGGGGGCTCCTTTTTGGTGCAAAAAGCACGGATGGTTCTGGAGACCAAATTCGGGTGAGACCCCCTGCTCTGCAAAGCCTGTAATATGAACCTCTGCTGTTTTTCAGGGGGCACTAGACCTTTGTTTATTGTAGTACTGGATATGAAAAATTTGAGCAAGCCTATGTCATCCAAAGCCAAAAAGGGAAATAATGTCATACTAACCCTCCCAACTGACAGACCAGCTCAGCAAACATCCTGCAGGTTAAGCCCGACTGCGGTTCCGCCGCTGGGAAGAGAGGGCACGCCATTAATCAGCATTCTCCGCGCATCGCCGTCCCGTGGCTCGACCTCCTCTGGCTGATCGTTAACAAAGCCCATTTCCGCCACATTGAGCTCAAAGACTCTTGTTCCCATTTTCTCTTCCGAGTTTTTCTTCAGACCCTTGGACTGTTTATCCCAGGCTGACCCAGTGCCAAGAGTGTGACCTTCAAGGGTGCCGGAAATCGCCCTCGTGATCTCAGACCCACATGTCAGATTTATGCCGCTCTTCAGATCCAAGTAAAATTCTCCCACGATTCAGTAAATGGAGATTAACACCAAATATGCGGCGTCTCTGGATTTCTCTATGTTCTGAAGCCACGTTACATGCGTCCGGCTTGAGGTTCAATGTTCCTGTGTGAGTTTCTAGAAATTAGAGATCAGTGTTAACACACCACAGTGTACAACAACGAAATGTGTCCTCTGCATTTAACCCATTTGTGACATTGTGACATAGCAGGGGGCAACTAATTCAACACCTGGGGGCGGCACCTTGCTCAGTGTACCTCAGTGGTGCCTTGTCAGTCAAGGATTCAAACCAACAATCTTTCAATTACAAGTGCACTTCCCTGCCCGTTAAGCCACCTCTGCCCACACGGTCTGAGGCTCTGAATCAGCGAGGTGTGTGACTGCGCTCTGACTGTGGCGGGGGCTGCCAGGTCAAATTAAAGAAGAACAGCAGGTTATAGGATCCAGCTGCAGAATTCCAGCTTGCTGTGAGAAATAAACAGACAAAATCCGTTTTAAAATGGAAACTTTAATATTTTTTATTGGTAAGCAAGGGAATTAACTAATGTATGAATGGTTTTTTAAACTGGGTTAGTTCATATAAAAAAAGTTATCTTCGAAGTCCTTGAAAGATATTTTTTCACACCATCTTTAATTTTGGCTGAATAGGGAGAATACCCCACCCCCACAACAAGGTAGATAAGATACAGCTATGTGAGGAGCCCCCATTTTTATCAGATAATATTTATTTCTTTAATCATAAAAAATGGAAATTAAGAAGCTTATCTTTATTAATGTGTGTGTGTGTGTGTGTGTGTGTAATGTATAAATAATGAACTGACTATCATTCTCAGCCTTATCCCGTCACCTAACAGTCACTGATTAGCAAACCAGTCCCCAGTTAGTATCCTCTCTGTTAGGCTTCTGTTACTTAAAGTCATACCACCCGGAATACACCTGATCCTGTCCGATGACTGGCCTCGTTAGTTCTTGGATGGGAGACTGCCTGGGAACAGCAGGTGCTGTAAGCTTGTGGGCAGAGTTGTGGCTCTGAGGCTAGGGATCTGTGCCAGCATTCGGAAGGGTGCTGGTTTGAGTCCCATGAATGCCAGAAGTGATCTTATTCCATTGGGCCCTTGAGCAAGGCCCTTAACCTGCAATTGCTTCATCCTGGGTATGGTGTTAATCTACATCCCGCTTTGTAAGCAGGTCCTCCAACTTACAGGGAAAAACTTGGGGGTTGGTGGAAGGATTGGCCCTTCAGCGACTGGGAAAAACTCACACTGGTCCCTTCAGAATAGTGTGGTGCTGAGGTATCACCCACTGCATGGCTGCACCCCGGTTCTCACCCCTGTCATGTGACGGGGTGCAGCATCGCGCTGTAATCAGCATAGGCACCTTACCTCTCTCCCCGTTAGGCTTCACGCCTCTTTGTGAACATCCTCTCCAGGACACTACAGCTCATGAGAAGCTGCTGCCTTGAAATATTCTTGCAACCTGTCTTCTGTCCCACACTATCCCCAATGGCTAAATACTGTAGCATAACAGGCACTGAATCTGTATCTGTAATAGTTGTTTGTTACAGACCTGTTTAGGGCCTCAGATACAGTGAGGGGGTTTGATGGTCCTGAGTCTCCTCTTTCTTGTCATTGCAGTGTCTCTCAAGGCTCAGTACTTGGACTTAGTCTGTTTTCTGTTTATATCCTGTCTCAGATACAGTGAGGGGGTTTGATGGTCCTGAGTCTCCTCTTTCTTGTCATTGCAGTGTCTCTCAAGGCTCAGTACTTGGACTTAGTCTGTTTTCTGTTTATATCCTGTTTAAAATAAATATCAGCATCGTTTCCCCAAGGACCTGCATTAATAAGTAACACATTTGATTCATGACACCCACACATAAAATGTGTAAAATGTTTTTGCTTAAAAAAAGTGGTTTTCAAGCGTCAGTAAGAGTGTTGGACTGAGCGTCTGTAGCAGGATGAAGTCAGTGTAAAACATCACTCGATTTTCCTAACCCCAGTATTGTTCATTTTCAATGGGTCTCCCCAGTTCAACCGGCTAATCTGATTGGCTGTTCTATCATATCAGTATGCAGGTGATGTGGGGGGGGGGGGACATACCACAGTGACAAGTAATGCATGTAAGGGTGGCACTTTGTTAGTGCTTGTGTTCCACTGCAATCCCCCCCCCCAGACTAATAATACAGAAGGATGATCGCTTAGCATGTGGAAGCTGGTCCCCCACCCCCACACCCAATAAAAAGAAAAGTTGGGCTCCCTTGAATGGGCAGCATTCATCTGCAGACTGCAAAGGGAGAGATCCGGAATATCAGCTCTGCTGACTGCTAAGTAGGGCAATTTTCTGCATTTTAACGAAAAAATATCGTTCTCAGGGAGAGAAAGCGGTGAATTTTTTATGTACGTCAACAGGTGGAGATGGGGAAACAGGAATGGGCGAGAAGCCATTATTCTATAAAATCACGACACAGTCGCACGTTCTCAGTTCAAGCTGCCGGCTTCTCCGCACCACACGAGCTCAATTCTTTGTAGCCTTTTAGCGGGCCGGGTTGTCGTCTCTGACTTGGTTCTGCTGTCAGGGATCCAGGGAGGACGGCGGCGTGAGTGTGATTTCAGAGCAGCTTAGACCCAGGTGGGCTTAAAGATGGATGGACAGACACGCCATTCATAGGCACTGGCACTGCGAAACTTATTAGTATTTATATGATTGTTTAGATAGAGAGAGACCTGGTCACTTAATCACCTTCTCGGGGACATTTTTATATTCCTAGGACTGGGACAGAACTGCTTCAGCTGGGCCCCCATGACACGGAAGCCCTCTCAGCTGGGCCCCAGACGACTTCCCTGGCTTCCCCCCCGAGACGCCAGGCCTGTTCCGGCTTGTTGAACATCAGCTCCTTTCTCACGGCTGCTGCCTGTACAAGGGAGTGCTGACCTCTTACAAAATGACATGATATGATTTCACTTCTGCAGAAAGTGGTTTGGAAACTTCGTCAGCTGTGCGACGTTCTGCTGTCATTTTAGCGAAGGGGCCCACAGCTACCATATGTAGTTTATCCTTCCGTGTGAACAATCCTGTACGCCAGCAGGTGGGGTAGCTAAGACATTAATTTGCTACCACAAAGTTACTGGATCAAACTGATGAGCGTGTACTACCACAAACTGCTCCAGTGAGAGATCAAGTGTCTGGGAAAAAAAAGTGGGTTTGTCCCAGCCATCTAAAGTGGGCATCGAAATGAAAACTGTACAGACTGACGGGTCTTTTACTTTCACATTAATGCTGCTGCAGGTCATGCCAGCGTTTTCATACGGCTGTAAAAACAAGGTGGCGCAATCCAGAGCAAGCAGGTACGACAGAGGGAGACGGCAAGATAGCCTATCAGCAGATCTAAACGGGGGAGGGACCCGGCGATTAAAGTAAAATAAAAATCTTCCTGCGATTCAGTGTTGATGGGTTTCCATATCCAAATAAGGAAAACAAAAGTCACCCGTCCCAGTCTGGGAATTACGTCACGAAGTTGGCGTGCTGCTACTCCCTGTATCGGCTGAATTATCGTCGTTTCTTATTTTAGGACAAAGCCTGTTTTAACTTTTTAAAATTAGATTCGAATATATACATGAGGGCATTTAAAACCTTTTGCAAATATTTCTGAAGCATGTCTCCATGCAGCTGGACAGTAAAGCTTTTTAAACATAAAATACAAATAGGCCTATTGAAACTGATGAAGAGAGAAACTTTGCATTAAGGCCCAACTTCGAAAAGTAAACGTCCCTGAAAGTGCGAACAGTTTTTGCGTAAAATGGCACGATGAGCTGAATGCAGGTTTTTGGTTAAAACTCCGTCAGACAGGATGCCCGGGCTGTTTGACATAGTAATAATACTTGTAACTGGTTTATCTCGTTTTCATTCTCCGTTCATTTCGTTCCAAAGACATTTCAATGAATATTTTCCCAGGAAGACTTGGTCATAATTCGTTTCCTTCAACGTAAGACCAAAACCCAGATTCGTGGTTTTATACGCGTCGGGGAATGTAAAAGCTGGCTTTTAAATATAATTTCTGTCGGTGGGAGAGAGAAAATATAATTGTCTAGATAGCAGGGCGTTTATTAAATTTAATGTGCGGTTTCAGTGAGCGCTGCCAGGCTTTTTCTGCATGAGGAGAGGCTTTCCGCTGTCAGCGATATATTCACTTGTATTTACTACACTGGTATGGAAAGGTGTTGCTTTTGGAAACGCTTTGGGGCTGTTTTACCGATCGGTGGTTGTTGCCTCTTCCGTCTTCGGTTCAAAGTGATGGACATTTCTGTACGCAGATTACTTCATGCGGAAACTGAAGGAAACAAAAACGCCTCCCACGTCATATTAGGTTTTTACTTTGCCAGTAATTTGATTTTAACGATGGAAAATTACGGAATTAATTTAGCAGTCGGTTCTAAAATCCCCACAGCCGTGTAAATAATAATTCTATGTATGAAATAATCCCCCACTATTCTAAATATGGTAGGTTTTTATTGTTGCACGCTCCATGTAGCCTACAGCGCAAACCACCCCAGGGGTGAGAACCTGGGTGCAGCCATGTAGCAGTCGATACCTCAACGCCACATTTCGTCACACCAGAATACCTCCTTACAGAGCTGGATGTAGATTAACATCATACCCAGCACGAAGCAATTGCAGGTTAAGGGCCTTGCTCAAGGGCCCAATGGAGTAGAATTACTCAGGGTATTCACGGGATTTGAACCAGCAACCTTCTAGTTGCGGGCACAGATCCCTACCCTCAGAGCCCATAAATACATGTTTTTATACATTGAACGTATTATGTAACTGACTCCCATTCGACTCCAGTCAAAATGCTTTAAAGTGTTTTCACCAGCAGGAGATAATCTTTCATGTCTCATATTAACATGCATTAACTAAACTCTTCGATTTTCCAGACCCGTCGGACATCCATCCCCGAGCCTTTTATTCATGAGAGGCATGAAAAATGCCCGATGACGGGATGGATGCAGTATCCTTTGGGGGCCGTTTCCATGGAGACAGTGCGCCAGTACGTTCATGCATTGAATGCCTTTTATGAATGTGGTTGTAATGTATTATATAACAACTGTTTGCTTGTGTCCCACTCAAAGGTACTCTGCGTGCGTTCTATTTTTTTATGTATAATCGCGCTAACCAACATGCCGAAAGGTTGACTGCAGATATCTAGAAAAATCAGTATTTTATCAGAATTTGTGTAGGCATGTTTCCTGACGTAGCTGGTGTGTGTGGATGATCATCAGGTTCATAGTGTCTGTTGGGTTTTTTAAAAACTAAGCTGAAATATGTAATTTGGATGAGTTACACATTTTCCTGTGATTTGTGTGTGTTTTATAGGATGGGGGAAATTTAAAGGTTGACTACCGTGTGTTTTCAAAGTGTAACGCGCAATACCAACAGGTCCGCTATAATAACCAAAAGATGTTGGGAAAAGGTTGTCGTTCCACATTTCTACATTTTCTGCTGCCACCTTGTGGTCAGAGTACGCAGCGTAAGCTCGGCCGCAGTTAACACTTGCCACGTTTCACAGCGGGACCTTCTAAAACGCTTGATCTTAAAACGCTTAATGTGGTTTAATTAATCGAAACAGCGACCAATAATCACCAAATTTCTTTCAGACATATCTGGTCATGAAGACTTTTACCTGACAAATAATCAAAACCAAAATGCCAGAAATATGGACTTTATCTCACGTTAAGCGTTTTCCTCTTCATTAAGGCCCATTATAAGGAAAATGAAAGCGTTCAAAAAGACAACAAATAAAATAATGCAGACGCCCCCTACTGGCTACAGAAATGTAGGAAACCCCCTGGACTTGCCCCAAGAGCCAATCGATACCCCACTTGACGTCCATCCTATCGCCGTCCACATTTAGTTATTGTTCGACTGCCTAGGAGGTTAATTTGATGATTATTGATCGCAGTTTAGGGACACGTTAAGCCTTTCCTTATAATAGGCCTCAATGGAAAGGAAAACGCTTAACACGAGGTGAAGTACATGTTCCTAGCATTTCGGTTTTGGCTTTTTGCCATTAGTCTTTATGACCAGATATGTCTGAGTGAAACATGGTGATTATTGGTTGCCATTTTAGTACTTTTAGCCAGATTAAGCATGTTAGTTGTCCCTTTCACGGCTCGACTAAGGTTGCAGGGATCAGTCTGTCACCTCAGAAAGGGCGACCCGAGACGCGATTGCAGCCACGGAATGCTGTGCTTATTGATGATATGTTCATTAACCATAACCAATTCCCACTTTGCTATTATCCAGCGGAGAGGGCAGTCTCCCCACACGGCCTTGAGACAGAGAGCCCTGTGACCCACTTCGATCCAGACCAATGGGGAGTTTCTAGTTTATAATTCTTAATGACTATTTTCCTATAATATACAGTATCGTGAGTACTCTCTGTATAGCAAGTGTACAATGATCTAATAATTCTTAGAAATCTGTCCTACTGAAAAATCCTGATATGGTATGAAATGAATCAAGATAGTAACCAAATTAAGATTCACTTATGTCCAGGATGGCAGGTGACAACCAAGAACAGAGTGCCAACCCATTACACGGAACACTCACATACAGTATGGGCAATTTGGTAACTTCAGTTTGTCTCAGCGTGTTTTAGGACTTGGGGAGGGGGGGGGGGGCACTGGGGTACCTGGTGGCCCCCAAAACAGGTAAAACAACCTGCAAATTATGTACATAAAAGGCCCAAAACAGAACATTCTGGAACTGACCTTCAAAACTGCAGGGAATACTGATACATCAACCAAAACAGAACCGGAAGAAAGTGTTTATTTAGAAATTTCACAGTTTCTAACGCACTACATCACTGTATTTACAGTTTCTCCCATGTCAGTAGTACTGGACAGTGTTGCTAAACAGGATGTCTTTCCACAGACCCTAAACCACAGCTCCGCCTCTCAGCGGCGCATAAGCTTAACGAAAACTTGGGCGGTCACAGGAAATATGTACACAAAATGAAGACAAGTTTTAAAAGTGCTCACTGACGGCTGATAAACTTTTTAAATAACGCAATTTCTATCCATTTGTTAGAATGCACATCCTAAGCATACTTAAAAATATTTACCCTATTAAAAAACTTTATGTTGCATTTGCCACCCACGTACGCAAATATTTCTACCTCTGAAGGTAAATTCTGATAATCTCCCTGCTCTAAGCAGATGTCCTGTTTTTATGTCTTATAAACATCGCTGCTATAAAATCCCATGCTCCCTTTGGTGTTAAAAATAAAAAACACTACACAAGAACCGCCTGCGTACATTTTGGACAGAGGTGATTCTCTTCACCCCTCTATAATAGCTGGACTTGAATTTACACAGCTGCCCATGAAAAATAAATTAACGCTGAAGAATGATATCTAGCAGATGATGTACATAGAATGACCGGGGAATTTTTGTGAAGATGACAGACTGGAATGAGGCGTACAGAGACTGACAGTGGGAAAACTACAGTGTCGACCTGGATGTTCAGTCATAAATCCATGGTAAGGAAAGAGAGATTCTCCAGCAATGAGCGACTTCTGCAGGTTATTCGATCTGCTTGGAATGTCAGAGTTAACAGAAACAGTTTAAATATAAATAAATCTGAATCAACTCCGAACCGTAAAGCACAGACCAGAGATCCAGCTCAGTCTGTGCCAGATGTGCAGGTGATCTGTCCTACGGAATGCACATTCATGGAAGAGTTATCGAAAAGTGGATTTAAAGGCTGGGTTTAGGGGAAAAAAAAGAAATGGGTTGAAATTAAGCATTTTTGCAGTTAAATACCCCTGTTCCACTAGAAACCAACAAAAACAAACTTAATGATTTGTATTATTACTGAACTGCTTCATGCAGCCACTGAAATGTACAACGTCGTCCTGAGATAAGCGTAGCTGGCTGCAATCAATGCCTTTTTATATTTGCATACTTTGTCAGTAAACAGATTTTTTTCCTGTGGTGTTTCAAACTTCTGACACAGGGGGGAGCCATTGAGGCAAAAATGGCCCCAGCATGGGGATGTCAGTTAGTAGTTAGAGGCTCAGGCACCACAGCAAGAGGTGGATTCAAAATGCTGCGTACACAGATCTGCATGTTGTGGGGGAAGTCGTTTTTTTTTTTCTTTTTGGGGGGGGGGGGGGGGGTGTCCCAGCAATGTCATAAAACTACTGCAAGCCTGTTGCGGGGTGGGTATTATACCATGGGGGGTTTATGACAAGTAATTTGTTAAGTGCAGTAGATGGTGTTCATTTTAAAAATGAGAGAGAGGACAGGCGGGTTAAAAGGAGCATGTCCTGGGATTAAAGCCCCACCCAAGGCTTCAGATTCGATTGGGCTGTTGGTCTGGGAGGAGGGGAAAAAAGACAGGGGGGTCTGAAGGAGAAGGCACATAAAGTAAGAGGGATTGTTGAAGGTGGACGTCTCAGTCCACCCCTCTTCTCCCCTGGTATTGGTACGCTCCCCATTCTGTCCAGTCACATCTCTGCAGCTCAGACAGGGGAATGTGAAGTCTGCAGGGGGGGGGGAATCATCAGTCAGACAGGTCCCGAAAGGGCCGGCACCCGGAACCCAGCAAGGCCCCCCCTCTGTGCGCCTGGGGGTGTGGCCAAGGTGTCGGCCAGTCTAGAGCGCCTCCGTCTGTAGCCCCGCCTCTCGGGCCTGCCTCTGGCGGGAGGCTGCCCATTGCAGAGGCGGCTGCAGGCCGAGGCTGAGATCCCGCAGAAGTAGGACTCCTCGGAGTGGGAGGAGCCCTCGGAGGAGCCCTCGGAGGTGGGGTCCACTGCCCCCGGGGCACGCAGGAAGCTGCGCGGAAGCCTGCTGTGGTGTGCGGCCCCATTGGGCAGCGCGGAGGCCGGGATCGATGGCCGCAGGGTCTCCACCCCCTCTACCTTCGTGGTGTGGAGCTTCTTCTGGGGGGGGGCAGAAAATGTAATTCCATGTCAAGTATTTTCATTGTAGTACGAACCAATGCCTGTACTTTTCATGCAAAGTGGGGTCAGTAGGAATGGGGTTTGGGGGGGAAACGAAAACCATTACGGCCCAACGGACCCCTACCTTTCTGTGCTCAGGAGGGCGCTTGAGAGGCTCTGTGTCAGCTGGAACTATGGAGCACAGACACGGGGATGTTAGACTGGCTGGGCAGGCTCGAACCCGGCACCCTGCATGACAGCGTGTCCGATCTATATGTAGGGACGCCTACTTCAAAACATCTGAAACGATCATTCTGAAACCTTATCCTCAATCAGCCTATAGAGACAGAAGCCATAAATATAAATCCATTAGAAATCTTACTTTTATGTTAAATGTGTGATTATTATATGTTTTTACAAATCTGTTTGAGAAACAAGACCATCCAGATGGCATGTCAGTAAATGCTGATGGTGCCATTTTGAAACAATTGTTTCAAATGTTTCAAAACTGCCATCCCTGCTCTACATCTATACATTTTTCTCTAGCCCACCAAGTATCTCTCGACAACCACGGTCTTGCCCTGCAAAACACCCAAATGCCAAGAAATTTGTCAGAAACTTCCAGAGAAAGTGGTCTTTTCGAACTACTTTGCCAGCCTAAAAACCAGTCAGAAGGCTGATCACGTGACTGTCACTTTGACCTGCAGCTGCAGTGCAGAGTTGAAAGCAGAAGCGTCAGTAGGTTTTGAAACAATTTGAACCTGAGTGTCATCACTGTAAGTATCTGAAACTGCACCGATGCCTGTCGGGGATTCCCCGTCTGGGGATTCCCCTGCTGCTGGGCTTGGCCTGTGACAGGTACTCAGATGTGGGTCCCTCAAGGACATGGAGGGTGTTTTCCATTTGGGAGCAGATGCGGAGGCACTGGGTGTCTTTGGAGTCCCGCTGTCTCCGAACCCCCAGGGCACGGGCGCGATTTCCCAGTAACGGGAAACGGAGCATGGTCTCGGGAACGTTTGGGTCTGAACAGCTGAACAAGCACCTCACCTGGGGAAAACTGGAGCGACCGGGACCGCACCAGGGGACGGGGGACCTTCCGCAACAGGCTCATGTCATCATATGAGGAGAAACACCTAGAGAGGAAGACAAAAAACGGCTCAGATATGACGGGGATGTCGGTCAAGTTCAGAGAGTCACCATTACAAGGTCCAGAGATGTGTTTTATCTAAGAAAGTCGATGTGACCCAAAGAGATGTGGTGGTATTTGTGCTACGTGCCTCTTAGGGCTCCAGTAGATGCCGTTGCCGTCAGGCTCCGGGAACGGAGGAGCAGCGACTCTACAGCACTGGATGCAGAGCAGCACCCCAAGGGAGATGCAGAGAAGCAGGCTGAGCAGCAGGTAGGTCTGTCGGCTGGAGGCCTGTGGAGGAACCATGGTGAGATGCCGCTCTGGGCTGAAGCGTGAGGCCGAGGGCGGCTCCCGCGCGTGACCGTGACCGTGACCGTGACCGTACCTCCCTCTGCAGGCTGTGAACCGTGGCTGACAGGTTGAAGAGCAGCTCGGTGATGTTGTGCAGCTGGACCTGCAGAAGCTGGATGGACTCGGTCTGCTTGTGGTCCTGAGGGGCATTTAGGGTGATGTCAGCGTTAGCAAAGGCTGCCAGAACCAGCTGTGTTCTGAATAAAAGTGAAGAGTTGTTGTTCACCTGTTCCTCCGCCATTTTTGAGGTATTCTGAAGTTTGATGATGGTGGTGTTGAAGGCTTTCTGCATGTCGTCCATCTGCTTCTTATACCTGCAGAAATGGCATTTGCTCAGTTATGGGGGGGTGGCAGCTGGCCAATAGATAGGCATGTTAGTAATGGGGGGGGGCAGCTGGCCAATAGACAAGCGTGTTAGTAATGGGGGGCGGAGGCAGTCGGCCAATAGACAAGCGTGTTAGTAACAGGTCACCTCTGGCTGAGTTCCTCCAGGTAGCGTCCGCTGAGGGACATGTTCATCTCCAAGGCTTTAATGCGGTTGCTCAGCCTCATGAAGACAGACTCCTTCTGGTTGGATCCATGCACATGGTTCCCATTGGCCAGATCGGAGAAGTTCTGCTCGGCGTAAAAGTCTGTGGCGGTCCGGTGGACCTGCCCGTTGCTGGAGGTAACACTGAGGAGGTCCTCCAGGGACTCTTCCTGTTTGTCTGGGAGCATCTGATGCGGCTCTGGGGACTCTGCTGAGTCTGCCCCTTTCGGGGCCTCCCCAGGTACAGCCTGGCCTCCATCTGGATCTCCTGGAGGAGCTGGCACCTCCGTGGCCAGGGGGGTCTCAGGAGGGAGGACTTGAGTGGGTGTGGTGGTGCCTCCGTGCTCAGTGTCAGCCCTGGGTTCCTCTGAGAAGCTGCGGATGGAGACACTGACCTCACTGCTGGTGTCAAGAGTCCGGCTCTCCTGCTGCTCCTCAGCACCTCCCCTCAAGGACATAGCCCCCTTCTCCAGGAGCTCCTCGCTTGAGGACATAGGCATCTCAACTGAAGAGGTGCCAATGGTCCCGGTTGTGGCGATGAAGCCTTGTAGCAGAGGAGATGGGGACTGGCTGGGCTCCAGGGCTGGAGTCTCGGCCATATGGGTCGGGCCGTGGGGGACCTCTGTCTGCCCGGGAATCTCCTCACGGGTGGAGGTGGCTTCTTCCTCAGGAAGCAGTTGCACGGCGCGGTCCAGATGCTGAGTCGGTGGGGTGTGGATGTCACCCTGACGCCTACGTCTCCGGCCCAGACTGACGGAGCACCACAGGCGGAGGTACTCCAGAAAGGTGGCACGGCAGGAGATCCCAGAGAGCTCCTTGCAGAGGGCGTTGCTCTCCAGCTGCCTGGGATCAGCCCCCCCTGAGGTCAAGGGCTCCCCCTCCTCATCAGGCGCCACTGCAGTCACAGTTACCCGGTCACATTCTTCTTCGTCCTCCTCATCCTCCACAAGGACCACAATCGGACTCTCTTCTGGCACGGGGGGCCCTGGTTCTTCTGGAGTATCCGGCAAGTCCGGATGCACAGTCTCATTCCTGGGGGGGGGGGGGCGCAACATAACCAAACCATCACCAAACTAAGTCTGACGCGGCTGAGCTACAGTGAATTAAACAGGCGATACAGTAACTAAACACAAAAGCCCCAGGTGGCAGCTGACAGACGTGATACTAATTAACCGCCGCCCCCCCCCCCCCTGTGGGCTGGTGGGCTCCTT